GCCTTATACAGATAGGAAACCGAAAGACAACATTCAGTTAACGAGCTTTGAAGAAGATTTCAACCAGTAATGATCAGCATAAGCTGAGGATAGATCTAAGAGAACAAAAAATAGAAACTAGGTCGAACCTGGCCTTCCACAGCGGCACATAACATGAAGAGAGCAAAACGAAGAATACCGACCAGCCATTCGTTTCTGCTAGCATCACTTTCACCTTCCGTGTCTTCGGTTACCAGTGAGTCCTAAATAACAGAATATAAACTGATTTCATTAAATGCGTGGGTAAGCTTCAAAACGTGCTTTCTGAAACTGCATTCCATTTTATTCTAGCATGTCTACTGTAAAACAACGCAAAACTCTCACAAAACCACATTTCAGAATATATTTTGATGTTTGTTACTCCTGCCCTGCCAATCTAACTGGTCTGTTCCATCATCACCATTTAGACCTCACGTAGAAATCATCTGGTCTTGGAGTAACCATTCGCTATTTGATATACTTTGGCGTACGAACCACTTACACCATGGAAAATGATCAGCGTATATGCCACTTATCTCTCTCAAGAAGGCGGTGCAATACGCCATGAAATCTGGTCTTGGAGGAGTAATTCGCTATTAGATTTAGTATTTCGTCAAAGCCATACCCTTATAAAGTGGAACTGAATGTAGGGTAATGCGTTTACCCCTGTTTAACCTACGTATTTTATATCTGGCAATGTCAATGAAGTAGCTAAGGCTTCAAGGAACTAACACTGGGTGAGAAGAATACAGAGATGTTAGCCAATCACTTCGACTCCATAACAAGTGAGATATTATCACGGAACTTATTTTCTAAAGATATGCCATTTTCAGTTCTTTCCTGAATTTCGTACTAGTAATGAATCAATCCCATTAATACTTTACAAATTACGTAGTGCATAAAAATGCATCATTTTTAGGAACTTTATTAACTCGCCTCATATGCAAATCCTATGCTGTTCAGAATTCTGCTCGAATATTAAATTATTAGAGCGCAAAATTATTCTAAGCAAATTTTTCTATGGTACAATACAAAACAATCAGATGAATATATAAATACTTCCTACCAAAAATACTGGCAGTAAGACGTTAAACGTAGAAGAGTCGGTAAACCGTTCAGTGTGTTCATGCCAAAGAGCGCATACGATGTAGACAAGAACAGTGAACTTTACCGCTTCGTTTCTGCGTTCTTCGTTAATTTTCAACTTGGGCAATCTCCTCAATCTTTCTGCTTCAACATATATTAAACGAAAGAATTCCAATACAAATGAATCAGATAAAGTCATTAGCGTGCCTTCGGTAACGGCTCTTAAAAACTTTTGGACTTCAAACGGTCCTCCTTTCGGATCATTAATTTCGATACTCGAGTCCTTTAGAATCCTAACAGCGACGTCAGGGTCTGCGACAAAATATTTTTCAATATATTCCAAGCAAACATCGGCCAACCATTGTGCGCCGTGATGTATTTCTGTGCATCTGAGCCACACAGCCAGAAGTTCTGAGAGCTGCAAATCTTTATGAGAATCAGAACCATACCTGCAACTGGCCGTGAAAATCGACCTCGCAAACGACTCCATGCTATGAATGAAATGTCGATCTTGCGGCTCCGATAAGTACAATCTCTTTAATAATCGAAAACCGTCGATATCCGCTGTAGTCAACGATAAAGGCAGTTTCTGTCGCTTCGTCAACGAAGTCATTTGGAACGATTCAAGCAATTCAAACTTAAAAAGATCACTATCCATAGCATAAAATTCTTTCATAAGAAGAGCTATTGGCTTGATTAGTCTGTCTGATAAATTTTCGGATTTTAGCAGCTGTATGCCGGAAACCAAAATATAACGGATGTATTCTTCACGTTTATCACGATAACTGGCTGGCAGCTTTTTAATTACCGAAAAGATACCATTAAGCACTTGCGGACAGTCGAGAGTGCCACAAAAATCCAAAAATCCTTGAAAAATATAGTGGAGACCATTAGGTTTCAATAGAATCTGCGTCATGTAGCCTCCGCACATTGCCACCAACCACTGTGGCGGTGGCGGCATGTTTTTCCACGGCTTTGCTAACAGTAATAGATCATAAATGATCTTCGGTTTATAGGATGAACTAATAATATCGTCCAAATTCGATTCGTACGAGTTTCCCGAAAGATCCTCCTCTTTACAGTGTATCAACTGCATCAAACCAGCCATGATAACATAAGTAAACTTAATACAGCATTGTGACATAACTCGATTGTGGAACCCTATCATTAGCAGCTCCATACCTTGCTTGAAGTATGTGGTATCTTTCACTACAGTTTTCTCTATGCCATGAGCTACGTACAAACAGCGAGACAACTGAATGCCGATGTCGGGCCTCATCCCAGGCAGAACTGCAAAAACAACTACCGTTTGGACGCCAGCTGCAAGTACCCTTTGTAGCGTTACCGGAAAGGCGGATTCAGAGTCAGACCATTCATTTAGATTTGCGAGCGTAGAAGCGATTTTTGACAGCAGAATAATTATGACATGAACATATCTGCCCAACGACGGTCTTTCATCCGGCATATCCTTTATGCCCACAGCTTCCAGTGACGAATTTAGACCAATGAAAGCATCTCTGAGATGATTGTCAATCGTTTCACCATCCACAGCTAAACAAAATATAACAATTCATTTAAGCATTTCATTTAGCTAAAATGCCTGAAAAGCTTATCAGCTTTTGCAGCAGTGCCAGCATCTGTTTGACATGTTCCGAGCTGCAGGTTTCCGCCATTATTCGAAATTTGTTGTTCCTGCTTTACTCGGCTCCAGTTGAATCCTAATGAAATTTAGATTGCATCAGAAGCCATCATTGCGCATTCAGCTTATTTTGATTCTAAACTACACGCATTTCACTTCTCCCACTCACTAGCAAATGAACGGAACATTCATAATAAGCACACGCAACGGCAAAATCAATCTGATCAACCTCCTGTCATTCTGTGAACACCTGCTTTTCTTTAATACAGTAAAACCACGGCAAACAGTTTAAACTTTAACTCTGGTGCAGAAACTGAAATTTTTACAGAAAGTACATGGACAGGATTTTCAATAGGTAAAAATTCTGTGATAGTATTTCTCAAAAAAGATTAATCTTTATAAAATATTCTGTGATAGTATTTATGAAAAATCTGACTCCGCAGGTGCCGGTCTTAAGCCAGGTTGATAAAGGAGGAGGGTTGAAGACCGTCGTCTTCGTAAAATTTCACCACCTGCCCTTCATCGTATTTGCGTCATCTAAAATTATACCGGCTCGGCCGTCACCTGGGTTACCAAGGACTGCGCAGGCTGTTGGAGGACTGAGGCAGATTGCGAATAGTCGGCGATCACAACCTGCTCATTGCTCTCTGCCAGCCGGGGCATAGCAGTACGACGATAGCTGAAGAAGATCGACAGAAGGACAATAAAGATACCAGTAAGCAACGGAGTCGCTGCCCGTTCTGAAGAGAGAGGGCAGACAGCGCAATGCCATTATAGCACTGAGAAAAGGCTATATGGAAACAACAGCGTTAGTGAAGCACCCAATCGGAAATTGGGATATTTCCTCACACAGAGGAAAAGAGCAAGAGTTAGCTGACAAGGCCATAAACTACCAACCCAACATAGTTTGAATCTCGTTAAGACTCAGGAATCCTGAACTTCAGTGGGTGGAAGCTATTATACTAAGGTGTCGATATCACGACTCGCAATCAGGCTGGAGTTGATATACCGGTAGAAACCAACCTCGCAGATAGAATTATTGAATCGAAGCCTATCAACCGAAGGGTGGCAATCCTCCGACTGAAGCTACAACAGGCTAAAGCGTTGAACATGGTCCAGGTCTATAAGGCCAATTTAGAGGTAGAGTATCATTCTTTCCTCGAGGAAGTGCAGTGTGCTCTATACGAAGTGCCGAATGCGGAGTTCCTCATACTCATACGCGACTTTAGTAAGCATGTTGGAATAGACGCTGTAAGGTGGAACATCTTGATTGGAAAAAACGGCCCTAGCGACCTCAAAAATTACGGTATTAAACTGTTGCGGTTTTGTGCAAACAGCGGATTGTCCATTATCAACACCTTCTTCGAGCATCGAAGAATGCAACAATATACTTAGCATCGGGAAGCTTGTGCACAAAAGTCGGTGATCGATTTGACAATCGTATCGTCTGATTTAAGACGCTCAGTAATGGATGTTCGAGTTAAGAGAGGAGCAGAGCTATCATCCGATCACCATCTTGATGTTCGAACGCTACGCTGTAAGAAATGGAGTACCATGCGAAGATCTGGTGGCAGAGGCAACCAGAGAATCAAATGAGAAACATTATCTTCGGTGGGCACGAGAGCGAAATTTGTACACAACATCGCATGACGGTTTGAACAGATTCCTGAGATGACCAGCTTTGTGAAATCGGAGTGACGACTGTTTAAGAGTGGCATATTGAGGCTGCCGCCGAATGTTGCGGCTTTAAACGAGTTGGCCTGCCGTCTGGAGGTCAGAAAAAATTTCCTGGTAGACACGAGAGGTTCAACTGACAGATACAGAGAAGAAGGCAGCATTCAAGAAAAGGCTTGGAGAAAAGGGCTTTCTATTCTCGTGCGATATCTCGAGGCACGCAAGCCGCCAGCAAAAACAGTGCCGAAAGCCAAAGCGGATTAGGGGAGAAGTTCGGTGAGTTGTTGTAGTCGAATTTTCTCACGGCAAACAAGATATGCTGGCAGACTGTTCGTCTGCTCCAATGCTAAAAGAAGGGCAGTCTCAGAGTCTTGAACT